GACTGTTTACCAAAACAACTACATTTTACCCTGTTTATTTATCATACAATCTACAGACACACAGTCGATTTCGGGGGCCACTACATCACATTAAAAATTCATACATTTGTCATACCCATATTCTAATATACAGATTAATACAGTGACATGTAACATAAATTCACCTCGACCAAAACTTACTTGCCATTGACATATTCAGGTCTATTACGATTTTCATTGTACTAGAAATGTCGTGCACTGTTTCCTTTGTACTATTTAAACTTGTGTTAGTTTGATGTCTGTTATTTATTTACTCTGAAGAAGTGGCTTACATTAAGTCACAAAACGTCAGAAATATAATATCACAATTATGCTAAACGTTATTATCTAGTTAAGAACCACGTGTTTATATAGTTATGAAAATTCATGAGATATATTCCAGGTTGCAGATCTGATGACGATCGTCCGAGTAATCCATATACAATTCCTTCAGTACAGTAGTCAAAAGTGTTATTTTTGAGATATTCAAGTTGTGTCTAACAATATAGGAATGAATAATCTTGATGGAGTTTTGTTCTCTGAACTGGATGTTTTGATCGTAGAGCTTTCATCGTTCTTCTGAATGATATCATCGGAACAAGTTTCATGTACTTACTTACTTACTTACGCCTGTTACTACAAATGGAGCATAGGCCGTCGACCAGCATTCTCCAACTCACTCTTTCCTGGGCCTTCTTTTCTAGTTCCATCCAATTCTTGTTCATTTTTCTCATGTCTATTTCCATTTCTCGGCGTAATGTGTTTTTATCTTCCTCTTTTCCTTTGGCCTTGAGGATTCCATGTGAGGTCTTGTCTTGTGACATAGTTGGGTGCTTTCCTCAATGTGTGTCCTATCCACTTCCAGCGCTTCTTCCTGATTTCTTCCTCCACTGGAATCTGGTTTGTTCTCTCTTACAGTACGTTGTTACTAATAGTGTCCGGCCAATGGATCTGAAGTATTCTGCGTAGACAATTGTTAATAAACACTTGTATTTTCTGGATGATGGCTTTCGTAGTTCTCCAGGTTTCTGCCCTATATAGTAGAACTGTTTTGACATTTGTATTGAAAACCCTGACTTTGATGTTGGTTCTCAGTTTCTTCGAGTTCCAGATTTTCTTCAGTTGTAAATATGCTGCTCTTGCTTTACCGATCTGCGCTTCACATCTGCATCAGATCCACAGTGTTCATCAATGATGCTGCCCAAATACGTAAAAGTTTTTACATCTTCCAAATCAAATTGATTAACTATTGAATAATAAACAGTGGTACGTTCTGGTCATATTCTATCTATCAAATCATAATATGATCTTACTGATAAATGATAAACAGTATAAAACCTTGATATTTCCTTGAAGAAACTTGAACTAGAATGCTAGGTGAAACATTGGATTTGCTTCAAATTCATTCGTTGAGATTTTATAAATACATTATTCCTCTTTAGTATGAAGATTAGTTCCATCATTCTTCCAACCATTATACATCTAAACATAATCTACGTGACTTCAAGTCTGGATAAGCAATCGATTAGTGTTTCATTCCAAGTACATACTCATTATTGTGATGTTGTCTATACAAAATGGTCTAACTAGTTATTTCATATTTTATTCCATACAAAATAGTCTTAATTAGTTCTTTGATAGAAATTCGTTCAAATCCTTCAAAATAATGTTTGCTTGTTTTTATAAAAGAAATGCTCTTACATTTCAAGTACCATGATTATACCACTTGAAATCATATAATTAAGACTTAACAGATGATGTCCCAAGAGAGGTTCATATACATATATATACATAGATGTAGGTAAACTCAGTTAATGAATTTCAAGTGTTCTCACTTAAGTAGAATAAAATTTCGCAATAAAAAAATATACTGAAACAAGTATTTATTTGACGCTTACACAGTGTTTGCTCCCTCTTATTATTAGATATACAGGAAACCTTCTTTCATATATAAGTAATAAATAGTACAACTACAATACTTTGATGATTGAAATTTTATGATTTAAAGATTGTTTTAATTACTCATCCTAGTCGGATGTTGTTTACGACATTGTGAGAAAGAAAAGTGAATGTACAACGCTTTAACCGGTTTAGTGAACTCAGACAGTTCATCTAGGAGAGTTGAAAATCCTTGATTCTAAACCAATGGTGCACATGGGCTTCAGTATTTTGATGAAACAAATAGTGTATGAATCAATCGTTGGTTACCGGCTACCATGAAACTACGTCTCCTGACATTGCTTCACTGTCTTGTGGATTAGACTTTTTAGTCGAAGACTCCGAGTGCAGTCCCCTATGAAAATCACCTGCTTCAGTTTGGGCACTCGGTCAGTATCCCAGCCCAAACACAAATCAAGTGACCTGTGTAGTGCATGTGTATTTGGTATTCCTTTGTACCAATATTTATATGTTCAAATAAATAAATAATCTCAGGTGGGTTTTGTGGATATTATAGTAATTTCAGTGGTTAAGATCATGAGTCAATTGAAGCTAGAACACCATGAAAAACCTGGAAGCATACAAAACCCATCTGATATTAATCAACATATGCTCACTAATGACTGGCTTCAAGTGGTGGATCCTGGAGTTCTACTGAGAAGTAGTGACCAGTCGAGTTTAACCAGGTCTTTTGTGAGATAGTAACTCACTGATGACAATGGTGGATGTGTAACTCAATTTCATGGATTAGTTGAAGTTAGACATTAACACCGTTGGATGCCGGTCGGCTCAGCGGTCTGGTGGTTAAGTGCTCGGGCGCTAGACAAGTAGGTCCTGGGTTCGAATCTCGCAGGGGGGGCGAGGTCGTGGATGCGCACTCCATGAGGAGTCCCACAATAGGACGAGACGGCCGTCCAATGCTCCCAGGTTTCCAAAGGTGGTCTAGCTTCAACTGACTCACGATCTTAACCATTGAAATAAATAATCCATAAAAATCTCATTAATTAATTAATATCAATGAATATTAATTATTTCATTCACCATATCTTTAATTAGTTTGTTCATTATTCATAATTAGGAATTTGTTTTTAATTTTTATCATTAATTAATCTTAATTAAACAATCACTGAAAACTTGCAAAACTAGCAATTTCAACAATATGATTATCATTATCTGAAATATAAGCGAACTGACATCAGTATTCTATAGATAATATAAATATAGAACTCCAAGAATTCTAGTGGAAAACCGTGACCATTGGAGATAATCCATGTCGGATGTGAGACAGTTACTAAATGAAGACAATAGAAGGTGGTGGTGCAATTTCGTGGATTGGTTGAAGTTAGACATTAAGACTATTGGATCCCGGCCGGCTCAGTGGTCTAGAGGTTAAGTGTCCGCGCGTGAGACAGAAGGCCCTGGGCTCGAATCCAAAGAACGGGGTCGTGGATGCGCACCGCTGAAGAACCCGACAACAGGAAGAAACGGCCGTCCAATGCTTCCAGGTTTTCCATGGTGGTCTAAGAATATATCGATAGCTAAGTTACCATTTTTCATAACTCTTTTCGGTAGAAAACATGATGATACTAGAGTTGTTGTAGAGATTTACGTTGTCTAGTTTGTTGTCAAAATAACTGTAATGAAGAGGAATCTAAAAATGTGTACACATATGCACATATTTGAATGTGAAACGTTTATTTTTTCTGGTTAGCGTTTTTTTAGTGAGTTAGTTTTCTACGGGATGGGGTCGCTAACCCCATGCCCAACCCACCTCCTTTATCCGGGCTTGGGACCGGCAGTAGACCCTGGAGGGACTCAAGGTGGAGTTGTGAAACGTTTATACATCGTTCAAGTTGTAACGTTTGTCATACATTCATACTCTTGATAATGAACGACAATTTGAATTTATGATTTAAACATTGACTGTGACTCAACTCTATGTAGTATTGACAATGTACCGGTTATAAAATAACTAAAGTTTATAGATAAAATGGTCAGCTTGTATTTACAATGAAGCTTTTTAATGGGTACACTTAACCAAAATTTATATCTGAAACTAATAAAGCACAACTTCACTATTAGTATTGTATATCTCATTGAGGAAGACAATAATTAATTAAATTAAACCAGTGAAGGATCATTTTGATTATAAGCTGGGGATGTTAACATCACTAATTGACATTATATAGATTACATGAATAACTTCTTATCTAACTAGTATTGTTTGAATTTATGATCCATCGCTGTCGACTATCTTAAGTATTTTCTTCCTAATAATAACTTTTCGGTTTAAAGTACTTAGAACGAGACGACTTAGGTCATGATACAACAACATTCTACCAAATTTGATAAAAGAGCATTAGAAATTGATTACTAGTAAAAGACTAGATAGAGATGATATCTTTCACTACTTGATGGTAAAAAAATGTTAAATATTTTTACAGCTAAATTCACGAGTCGATCTAAACTAAATCACTATTGAAAACCTGGAACTACGAGAAGGCCGTTTCGTTTTAGTATGGGACGCCTCAGCAGTGCGCACCTACAATACCGAACGTGAGACATTAACATCGTTGAATGACAGCTCAGTGTTATAAAGGTTAAGAATTTGCACGCGAAACCTAGGGTCATGGGTTCGGGTCCCATATGCAGGATCATAGGTGCAGACTGCTGAAATGTTCTATACTAGGACGAGCCGGTTGTCCTGTGATTACAGGTTTTCAATGATGATCTAACTTAGATCGACTCATTAGTTCAACTGTTAAAATACTACAATCTCCACAAATTCCCATACTGTTTACTTTAAATATTTCAGTTACACAGGTTGTCAGTTGAGACAGATTTGGATAAATGGTAAAACGTTAGTCAATAATGCTTCGTGATAAGGATTTAAATCTCACAGAAAGCATCATTTCCCTTTAAGATTACAATGATACCATACTGACGAATGGTAATGAATATCTAGTCCAACTTAGTTCATACCTTACTTACATCTAATACAAAATATCAATTCATTTAATACATAATATCAACCATTCACTTACCTATAATAAATAATAATTCCACAATAATATCACATATAATTAAATCTTTTTCATCACCTCCCTGAGAAAATGCTGCATTATATGGTACCATTATAGCAATATAAAATGTACATAATAATATCATCCAATCCCAAATAATTTTAAATAAACTATAATGTAATAATATAAATCTTGATGCTTGTACATCTTGAACTTTATATTCAGGTATTGTTTCTTTGCCAGAAATACGTTGAAACTGAGAAGAGAAACAAAAAAAAGATGAAACACATTATCATTTTCAATGGAACTGTCAATGTTGAATTTACCTGAATCTATATTGAGAATGAGATCAAATATCGATTTGATTTCAATGTTCAATATGTTATCCATGAAGCTATTGAGTTCAGATAGTTAGTTATTAGATTTTTCGGAGAGTATGATGATAACAAGAAAGAGATTGCATTATGTAATTATTGATTTTATATCACTATCAAATAAGTTGATTTTTAAATGAGGATAAATTGACAATCTCGCGATAGAGAAATCGTGGATGTGCACTGTTGAGGAGTCCCACAGTAGGAAGAAATGGCCATCCAGTGCATACAGGTTTTCCAAGGTGGTCTAGATTCAATTGATTCATGAACTCAACTATCGAAATTACTATAATATCCATAAAATAACCTTCTGATACTAACCAACATATGCTCACTAGTGACTGACTTCAACAGGTGTATCCTGGAGTTCTAGTGAGAAGTAGTGACCAGTCGAGTTCAACTAGGTCTGTTGTGCGATATCAGGTCACTGATGACAATGGTGGATGTGTCACTCGATTTCATGTATTACTTGAAGTTAAACATGTCGGGCGGTTCAGTGATCTAGTGTTTAAGCGGTCGCGCGCGAGACTCGTAGGTTCTGGGTTGGAATCTGGCGAGATGGGATCATGGATATACACTACTGAGAAGTTCCACAATAGGACGATTTGGCCGTCCAGTGATTCCAGGTTTTCATGATGTTCTAGCTTCAATTGACTCATGATTTCAACCATTGAAATTACTATAATATCTGACTTTTTTCAAAAGTGAAAATGTCATTTTACTTCGACTTATTTTCAGATCATATTTATTCTTAATGTTGAATAATACATCTAATATTCGATAGTGAGTGAATATAGTTTATTCGCCAGTACTGATCTTAAACCTCGGAACACTCTGTAAAAAGTTTTCTATACGTCACTTTAAATTGTGTTAGAATAGTGAGTTATTGTGTCTGTGAATAGCATTACTATTATTACTACTACCATTTGGTGAGTAAGAATGTGTCATTGGCTAATGTATTGCCGGAAAACATGAATCCTATAATTTGATCTGTGCTTAATTAGATGTTCATTCTAGAAAAATGTGTGTTTTTCTCTTAATTATTGTAAAGGTAATGGTAAATGCCAGTTGTTAATTATGTTCAAAAGATCACTTCTAAAACGATTTCATGTCAACACTGAAGTTTTCAATTGCAACACTACGACTATACTTTGACAATTTACATGACTATTTGTTGGATTATGTAGTAATTATGGGAAATGTAATAAAGGAAAAAAGAGACAGTCGTCATTCATATCCTCTTCGAAATCAGGTATAGCTAGTTAGAGACAGATATCTACATCAGACAATAAAAGATAGTTGAGCAATTTCGAGGGTTGATTGAAGTTAGATATTAACGTCGTCGAATGCCGATTCAGAGGTCTAGAGGTTGAGCGAGACTGAAAGTCATGGGTTCGGATCCAGCGTGCGATATCATGAATGAGCGCTATTGAGGAGTCGCATACTAGGTTGAAACAGCCTTCTAGATATTCAATGGTGATCGAAAATTCATCGATTCATGATCTCAATCAAAAATACCCTAAAGAATTAGAAAAGTAATTTTTTTAGTGTTATAAAGGCTGATGCATAACTTGTGAGAAAAGTTTTAAAAAAAAGGTCAACATTTTATCACTCTTATCTTTGAACTTTCTTATGGTTCTCATGATATTTTACATAAATGAACTTGTAAACATCTGTATAAATTCACAGCAAATGAATACAAGAAAATCATATTATTATATGTAAATAATGTTATTGATAAATCTAAATACCTAAATAAAATGAAATTGATATTTCTAGTGAAGATTTCGAACAGTATTTATCAGGGTGCTAATCAGCGACATTTAGATCAGTGTATATATATATATACATTAGTAAGTATCAGACAACATCCAAATGGTCAATGCTTTACTAACTCACTTACATACGCCTGTTGATCCTAAGAAGAAGTATAAACCAACCACCAGCATTCTCCATCAAACTATGTCCTGGACAATCCTTTCCAGTTATTCCCAGTTGTAATTCATCCTTTCCATATCTATTTCTAATTCTCGACACAGTGTATTCTTTGGCCATCCACTTTTCCATTTCCATTCAGGATTCCAAGTTGGTGCTTTCATCGTGATGCAGTTTGATGATTTCTGTAATGTATGTCACAACCACTTCCAACGTCTTTTCCTAAATTCCACTTCATTTGGAAATTATTTTGTTCTTTTCCACAGTATGCTGTTGCTGATGTTACTCGGCCTTTGGAAAATGAGTATTTTGTGTAGACATTTGTTTATAGATACTTGTATCATTCTATTGATGGTTGCAGTAGTTTCTACGTTTGAGCTTCGCATAGTAGAACTGTCTTGGCACTCGTAATAATGATGCTGTTGTAAGTGGTATCCGGTCAACGGATATTCAGTATCTTACATAGACAATTGTTTATAAATATTTGTACTTTTTTAATGATGATTGTGGTAGTTCAGCTCTGTACAGTAGAACTATCTTGACACTCGTAACGAAGATTTTGATATTGGCTTGTAGACGTTTGTTTTTAATTCCATATGTTCTTCATTTCCTATTGAATGCTTATTCATTTAAGCCAGTTTAGCAAGACATAATTAATGGCTATATGTGAACTGACGTAAATATCTCGCATTACTACTCTAATGACGATAGTTACGAATGTTTACAGGAAATATCAGTTACATTTGATATAGATATTTATCTGTTAAATGTCATCTATAGTCCTCATATAGTAATACGACTAGTTATAATGATATTTATCAGTTTAGGGGTTGTGGAGATTGTTAAGTTTTTGATTGAGGTTATGAACCGATTGACGTTAGTCCACCATTGAAAACCTGGAATTACTGGATGGCCAACTCGTCCTATTGTGGGACTCCTCAACAGTGGGCATCCACGATCCCGCTCGCGGGATTCAAACTCAAGTCCTTTAGTCTCTCGCGCAAACGCCTAACCTACTGGACCACTGAGCCTGCAGGCATCCAACGGTGTTGATGTCTAACCTCAACCAATCCATCTTCCATTGTACTGAGGTAGACACCTGTTTCTACCCGACATGGATTAGCTCTATATCTATAACGATATCATGCTTTTCATATAAAATACTACTAATAAATATTAATAATATATTAATGAATAAATTTTTATCTTTCTTACTTTTTTAAATGGTAATTTATGCTTGGATTTTTGATCAAATCGTCCAGATAAATGATATAATACAGCTCGACTTCGTCTTCGTTGAAATTTATAAACAGTTGATGGATCATTAGTTAAATTACTTGATTCATCACTTGATGTATCCGTTGAATCAGATTCATGAACTATTAAACGTGTAGGATCCAATAATTTATTACCGTTATTATTATTATTATTATTACCATTACTCTTATATTCTGTTATTAAAAGTGGACCACTTTCAACATCAATTGGATCTAATAGAATATTTTGTTTTGAACTATTGAGAACATCATTTATTACACTATTATTACTTGTTGATGAATATTTCGCTAGTGATTTACTCGACTCAATAGAAGTACGATCTGATAATTTCCTACTTACAATTGAAGTATTTCTATCTAATTTATTATGAGTAATGGTAGTTGTTGTTGGTAATGATGGTGGTAGTAGGGGTGGTATTGTTGTTGTATTCTTTCTAGCACTTAAATAATCTAATAATTTATTATTACGAAATCCAGTTGAACCAAGAACTGCTGCTGTAATTGTTGTTGCTAATCCCATTGTTAATAAGTTTGGTGTTTTATTTGATGGAGATGTTCCAGTTAAATGTTGAGCAGATAACATATATGGTACTTTTAAACTTGATTCAGGTATACTATAGTTGGCTTTATCTAGAATTTATAAATATAATAATTATAATAACAAATAAATGTATTACCAATAACTGTAAGCATTTAGGATAATAATATAGTACAGTGATACAATGAAAATGAATATTAAGTAACATGGCAGTAATGAAATAAAATCCAGTTCTTTTAAGGTTTCCAATGGTGGTCTAACATCAGTTGGTTCATGATCTCAATCAAAAACTTAATAATCTCCACAATCCTATACTGCTTATTAACACGTGCTCACTAGTGACTAGCTACGTAAGGGAATTCTCGGAGTTCTAGTGAGAACCTGTGACCAGTGGAGCTAATCCGTTTCGAGTAGAGACAGGTATCTAGCTCAGTACAATGGAAGATCGTGGTGCGATTTCTTGAATTGGTTGATGTTATACACTAATACCATTGGATGCCGGCCGACTCAGTGGTCCAGTAGGTTAGTCGTTCGCGTGGGACACTGAAAGCCCTGGGTTTGAACCCTGCTAGGTTGAGTGCTATTAGAGGTATGAGGGCGGTTATCACTTCCCGGTTGCCCACACCGAGGAAGGGTTCTTCTGGAGGTACCTGAAAAGGAAATTGGATTAGAGGTGGTCTCAGTGACCTGAGAGTGTGACCGCAGTGCCTAAGGGACAACTGCTTGAGGCCGGTCGCACACGGCCTTTTCGTGGAAGGTTTTTAATGTGTTAGCTCCGTTCTTCAAAGGGCCTTACCGCCGGAGACGGAAATCCGTGAGGTAAGGTGAGGTGTGACATTTTTAGGATTGACCTTTTCTAACCCCACCCCTCCTTGTGGGAAGGCAGAATCGCTGCAGATTCTGGTTGTCCGAGGGAAACACCTTACTGCTGTCACACCTCTGTACAGTCAGCAGTACGACTTTGCCTTCCGACCTTGGGTTTGTTGCTTTTAGTCTTACCGCTCTTCAACTGACCTGTCTGATATGGTAGAACCTTGAGGAACGGTTGCTTCATCACGATAGGCAAGCCCGACCACCACGTCAAGGTAGCAACAACGGTCGGGTTGAACCCTGCGGGCGGGATCGTGGCTGCGCACTGTTGAGGAGTCCGACAATAAGACGAGTTGGCCTTCTATTGCTTCCAGGTTCCCAACAGTGGTCTAACATCAATGGGTTCATGATCTCAATCGAAATCTATTGTATTTAACCTGAGTGGTCATCTCGTTTAGTTTCTAGCATTCATGTTATTGGTTATCAGTTAATTTTCAAATAATGAATGTCTCTTAGACACAGAAAATAATTTTGGTGTACGATAAACTCATTAATGACATATACAACTGTGATACTGAATAATTCTGTAGGAAACATGAATTCTATGATGATGTCAAAAACACTGTAATCACTTATGTCAAGTAACACAAAGGTTAAGTCGAAGGATTCGTTATACATATAAGCTCTTCACGACATTAGAGCACAACTGAATTAATGTTGATGGATAAATAAATTTAGAAGATTTTGGTAATTTATATAATATTGGTAGGTATTGAAAGAATAGTGATGCTTCTGTAGTTTTCATACTTGCTTAGATCTCCTTCCTTTAGTATCTTGTTTAGGTGTTTTTCTTTCCAGTCTTTTGGTACTTATTCTTTATCCCAAATGTTGTTGAAGAGAATGTTGAATATCTTAGCAGTTGCTGCTACGTTTGCTTTCAGTGTCTCTTCTAAAATGTTGTCTAATCCCACTACTTTGCTGCTCTTGTTGATATAAGTAGTATGGATGATTGAATATATCATTAAATTAAAAATTCTTTAAGATGGTTGATAATGATAGATGAGTGAAGTAAAATTAATTTCCTGATGTATATTTATGAAACATAGTTACCATTATCAGTGTATATGTTGGAGAAAAACACAACACACACACACACACAAAGACATAATGCCAATAGTCTTAGTTTCCAAACAGGTTGGAGGTAATCAAAAATTTAACTGATCTTGACGTACGTTTTTGTTTCTGTTTTTTTTGTTGTTGCTTGGATGGATGTAACAATTGATGACCATTTATAACAAACTGATCCACAAAATGTTTGCTTATGTAAAGAGTCATTACTTTGATATATGTCAATAAAGTGAGCAATGTAATGACATAAACTATAATATTTACACTGGATGATAAAACAATAGTCATGGTTTTTTAATTTTTAATTAATTGAAAAAATGTCAGTATAGAGTTATGAAGATTGGTGATTTTAGTTTGATATCATGAACGAATCAATGTTAGTGTGATATTGAAAATCTAAAAACATTGGTTGAACGTTTTGTCCAAGTATGATATAAGTATGTAAGCATCCACGATTCCTCATGTAGGACTCGAACACATGACCTACAGTTTCGAGTACGAATGATTAAACTCTAGATCACTGAGCTTGTATACAACGGTGTTAATGTTTAACTTTAATCAATCCACGATATTGTGCTACGGTCCACTATTGTCTTCTGTGACTAACTACCTTACAAAAGACACGGTTGAATCTCACTGGTCAAGGTTTCTCACCAGAACTCCAGGAGATCCATCTTAGTGCTATCCGCTGTTGGATGATGTTTCAGTGGTCTGAAGGTTAGGCGTTCGTTGGTTCGAGTCCCACGTGAGGGATAGTGGATGTCCAATGCTGACAACTAACTCTTTCTGAACTCATAAATTTGTTTTAAACTATTGAATAGTAAACGTTTCACAACGATATGTAAACAAGTTGTCTTTGTATGTTGATAATTCTGAAAATGATTCAAGCTAATTGATCTAACAACATAGTAAATTATCTAGTCGAACTAGTTATATTGTGTAATAGCTGGAATAAAGATGTTTCAATCTGACTGTTCAATTACCTAAAGTAGAGATATTTAATTTAGTCATTTCCTATGAGTTAATCTTGTGTAATAATGTAATTAGTATAATTATTACATATTTTATCTAAGATAGTTCATATAACACTTTGATAGACGTTTAATGCCGAACTAAATCTGCATTATTCAAGAAAGTAAAACTTCCCGCGCACGAACGCGAGATCGACAGGTTCTAGATTCTCAAGAGGCTGGATCGTAGATGTGCAATGTTGAGGAGTCCTATATTAGGACGAAACGACTGCTCAGTGTTTCCACCGTTGGAAACTTGGAAGCACTAGACGGACACTTCGTCCTATTGTGGGACTCCTTAACAATGCGCATCCACGATCCCGACTCACGAGATTCCGACCCAGAACCTATCGGTCTCTCGCACGAACGTTTAAACCATAGACCACTGAGCCGCTCGACATTCAAAAGTGCTAATATCTAATTTCAACTAATCCATGAAATTGAGCAACACATCCACCATTGTCATCAGTGACCTGATATCTCACAACAGACCTAGTTGAACTCGACTGATCACTACTTTTCACTAGAACTCCAGGGTATACCTCGTGAAGCCAGTCACTAGTGAGCATATGTTGGTTAGTATCAGAAGGTTATTTTATGGATATTATAGTAATGTCAATAGTTGAGTTCATGAATCAATTGAATCTAGACCACCATGGAAAACCTGTATGCACTGGATGGCCATTTCTTCCTACTGTGGGACTCCTCAGCATTGCACATTCATGCTAGGACTAAATGGCTGTCCAGTGCTTCAAGGTTTTTCATGGTGGTCCAGCTTCAGCTGATTCATGATCTCAACCATCAAAATTACTATAATATCCACAAAATCCCTTTTTGATTATGAATTGATTGATTGATTGATCAGAAACTATAAAAAAAATAATAAGTTAAATCGAAATGAATAAACATAAGGTAATTTGTTTTGCTTAGAACTATGAATATCACTTAAAATAAGTATAATATTATAGCTTGATGTTGTAGAAAGTTGTTGCGGGATGTGTAGTTCATCTTGAGTAAGTGAAGATTGTATATGAGTTGAAAATTATGAATCCTGAGTTTGAAAAAGATAACAGATGACAGGTCATCTTTCATTAAATAAGTCGATAAAAATTACCGCTTTTTATATTATTTGTTAGATATATTTTAAACAATTCATTTAGTGGGATTATTTACTTCTACGGTTACTGGATTATGAAGACTTTCGAATTTCAGGAGGAGTATGGAATACACTGAATAGCTTGCATGCAACTAGATGATTTAGATTTCACGGATGACCTAGCTCTTCTATGCCGCATACACCAACAAACGCAGGTCAAAACAAACAGTGTAGCAGAAGTCTCTGAATCAGTAGGTCTCAATATGGAGAACATTATCCCGATCACAAATAATGTAGAAACCCTGGAAAAGGTGGAAACTTTTACGTACCTGGACCGCAGTAACTATTAACAAGAAGAGTTTGAAACACTCGTTATGGCAAAGATTAGAAAGGCAAGGGCACCGTTTCTACGAGTGAAAAATATATGGAATTCAAAACAACTGTCTGCAGGCCAATATCAAAATCAGAATCTTTGATAAGAGTGTCAAGACAGTCCTACTATGCGGAGCTGAAACGTAGAAATTACTGCAACCACCAACAAAATGGTACAAGTATTTATGAACGATTGTCTATGTACGATACTGGATGTCCGTTGACCGGATACAATCAGCAATAGCCTACTATGGAAGAGAAAAAACTAATTTCCAACTGAAGAAGAAATTAGGAAAAGACATTGGAAGTGGATAGGATATTGATTGAGGTAATCATCATATTGCATCACGATGAAAGCACTAACTTAGAATCCTGAATGGAAATGGAAAAGTGGATGGCCAAAGAACACACTGTGTTGAGAATTGGAAGTAGATATGAAAAGGATAAATTGCAACTGGGAATAACTAGAAAGGAATGTCCAGGACATAGTTTGATGGAGAACGATGGTGGTTGTTCTATGCTCTATTACGATGTGTAACAGGAAAATGTAAGTTCCGGATTATTGACAATCTACGTTTGTTAAATCGTTCCTTTATTCAGACGGGAAACAAGTAATTTTTTTTCTTAAAATCAAATTAATTGATTAATAGCTAAAAGGACTCAATTATACGAATAGTCTCATATCATATCCAAGTTATAATCGTGATTGACGAGTTACTGGTAAGCAAAGTCCTGTTTGTCCAGTACATGAACACTATGTTAAGTAAATTAATCCAAATTCAACTTCGTCAATAAAATCTGAACAACACTAAGAGCTAGATAATAACGAGATTAGCTGTAAATAATTGGCTGATTTGTTGCATATTACATAAGGTCGACCGCTAGCTAAATAATCATTCTAATAATTATCAGTTATTTATTATTGATGAATTTATTTCATTAATAAATTCATTCAATCATGTATGATTTTGACCTCTCATCATTAGACAGTCTACTATATCTAGCTCTCAAATGTCCTGGTACGGTCGTGAGCGGGGAGAGTTAGCTCTCGTTCTCGAAATGTTCTCACATGGATAAGTGCATTGTTGTTATCATTAAAAGTCAATAGAATTTTATGTATCCCATTTATATTTTGAAAAATGTTTGATATATAAAACTTTATTAAATTAACTGAATTAATATAACTTCATAAAAAGATGTAGGATATTCATCAATATTTTATTGGTAAGTCATAAATGTTATGTTATGTAATCGTGGATGTGCACTGATGAAGAATCTTACACAGTAGGACGAAACGGCCGTTTAAGTGCTTCCAAGTTTTCCAAGCTTTAATTGACTCATGATCTCAACACATAAACACTCCCTGACGTTAAATCAACATATGCACACTAGTGACTGGCTTCAACAGGTATTTCCTGGAGTTCTAGTGTGAAGTAGTGATCAGTTCAACTGGGTGTGTTGTGAGATCTCAGCTCACTGATGATAATGGTGGATGTGTTGCTCACTTTCATGGATTAGCTGAAATTAGATATTAACACTGTTGGATGTCGAGTGGCTCAGTGTTCTATAGTTTAAGCGTTTGTTCCCGAGAATAATAGGTCCTGGATTGGAACATCGCTAGGCGGGGTCGTGGGTTGCGTACTGCGGAAGAGTTGCATATTAAGACAAAATGGCCGTCCAACTTCAATTGATTCGTCATTTCAACTATTGAAATTACTATAATATTCACAAAAAACCCTTCTGATATATACTATTGTCAATACTTATTCACAATGTTAGTTTAATTTCAGAACTCACTACAATAAATGTTGTAAGATTGGAAACAATCAAGGGATGTATTTTACTCCAGTTTCAAAAGTTATCAAGGAATTTAATAATTGAATTCATGAGTCAATTGAAACTAGACCATAATGGAAAATCTGGAAAAACACTGAATAGCCGTTTCGTTCTAGTATGGGACTCCTCAGCAGTACATCAATTTCATTCCTTTACAGCTTGTTTCTTTGTATCATGAATTCAATTATTAAATTACTAAAATCTTCACAAAACTACCCCTTCTGATTATAAAGGAATTTTATTTGGAAAAGTCGACAAGCAGTTTTTGTGTGTGTAGAATATCTTCACTTAATGGATCAGATATTAGTTCTGATTGGTAACCAAATATTATCATGATGCAATGTGTATTATTAATTTAGAACTTTATAGAAACATTACTGTACTACTGATTTGGATCTGATGATGACAAGAAATTCGATAACTATTTAGATAGTAAAGAGTAGTAGATAGATACTCAAAACAATCAATGCATTATTATTATTATTTTCATTGGTTATTAACGTTTACTTATTATTACATAGTAGTAGATTAACTACATCAATTCACAGTTCCTATAAAAATTAAGATACACCTAGATCACTAAATATAGACCCAGAGATATTTGTTTTACAAGCCATTTGACATGTATCTAATGCTAATATCGAAAACAATTTGATTAATTACATAATTTAATTTGACGTACCATTTGAATTTCAGTAATTTACTTTGAAAGTAGTCATTAAGAGCTAATGGTAAACAGTAGTTGAAATCATGATTCAGTTGAAGCTAGACCACCATTGAAAACCTGGAAGCACTGGACGGCCGTTTCGTCCTGGTATGGGACTCCTCAGCAGTGCGCATCCACGATCCCGCACCAAGCGGGGCTCGGAACCAGGACCTACTGGCTTCGCGCGCGAGCACTTAACCACTAGACCACTGAGCCGGCATCCAACGGTGTTAATGTCTAACTTCAACCAATCCTCGAAGTTGCACCACCGTACACCATCGTGGATGCGCACTGCTGAGGAGTCCCATACCAGGACGAAACGACCGTCCAGTGCTTCCAGGTTTTCAATGGTGGTCTAACTTCAACTGACTCATGATTTCGACCTGTGAAATTTCTAAAACTCTCCACAAAACCCATTCTGGTAAACAGTAGTATTGTAATGAACGAGAACACAGGTGACAACATCTGATTGCGTCTCTATATAAAGTTAAAGAGTCTGTTGGTAAAATGAGAAACCATAAGTTCGATAATTCATTTATAAATTCTCTATCTGTTGTCTCAAACTTCATCGTTCCTTCATTCCCATAACAATTATTCTCTATCCCCGTTCACTTCAATTCCATCTTCTCAACCTTTTGCTAATGGTGTTAAATGCAACTTATGTTGACATAAGTAGTATAAACCACAGTATGAATATTTGTGATTATTGAATTGCCTCCAAATACTCTGTTACAGCCAAGGGTGGGTAGAGTTTCTCTCTCTCTCTCTCTCGAAATGCTCTCACATAGCAACGCATATAAATCCTCTGACAGAGTTCTAATCACTGCCTCCTCTCAGTAGAGGTGTTGTTTACGAAATTGAGAGGAAGAAAAGTGGATGTCCGGTGTTTTAACCGGGTTTGTAGGTACAAAGGATCCACATATGGGGAAATTGGAAAACGCTGATTTCGAACCAATGGTGCATATGGGCTCCAGTATCCTGAAGGAACAAATCGCATAGGAATCAATTATCGATCACCGGTTACCATGAAACTGCATCTCTTGATGTTGCTCCACTGCCTTGTGGATCAGACCTTCAAGTCGATGGCTCTGGTTGTGGCCTCCTAAGAAAACCACGTATTTCGGTTTAACCACCCATGCAGTATCACAGTCCACACACAAATCCAGTGACTTGTGTGGCGCCTATGTATTCGATACCCTTTTGTACCAATATTTATATGTTCAAACAAATGAATAATAATGATAATCACCATAATATCACTATAGTAATCATTCTTAAGTGAAATGAAGTTATAAATGATACTGAAGCAGTTAAGCATAAGATTGATTGCTTTACAACTTATGTATAAATTCTTTCTTTATTTTTATATGTATTTAACAAATATATCAAATAAAATGTCATATAAGTATATATTCACAACAGACTTTAATTGGTAACCGTAGCTGTTGTAAAATAACGCGCACACACACACGTACATCCCATTCTTCAACTGATTGGATAGGTTGAAGTTAGACATTAACACCGTTGGATACCGGATCAGTGGTCTAGTTGGTTAAGCGCCTGACGCCAGGCTGATTGGTCCTATGTTCGAATCTCGCGGGATGGGGGCGTGATCATGGATAAGCACTGCTGAGGATTCCCATAGTAGGATGAAACGGCCGTCCAGTGCTTTCAGGTTTCCCATGGTGTTCAAGCTTCAAATGACTCATGATTTCAACCAGTGAAATTTCTAAAATCTCCATAAAACTCATTCTGATAACTTTTGTACAACTTATTATAAATTGATTTAAGTTTTTCATTAATAGAAATTGAAAGAATTCTAAAAGAAAAGTACATTTTCCCCTATCAACAATATATAGATATATATGTACACTTACTTCGTCCATGTCGATCAGGTGATAACTCTTTATGAGATACAAGAAATAGAACAACTTGTGATTTGTCATTTTTAATTGGTACAATATCCAATAAACAAAGAAATGGTTCATCTTTAAAATAAAATTAAAAAGAAAAACAATTATATTAGGATATAATAATAATCATCATCAATTTGATTGTAAATATCATAGATTGTTCTCATTACTCATAGTTTGTTTTTGTGAAGACAGTTCATAGGTGAACTTGAGGAAGCTCTAAGAAGTTCAGAAAGTGACGAAGATATTCCAGAATCCCTAAGTGAAACTTTCTTATTGTACAAATGCTAATAACCACCTGTATGTGGATTAGAGGACAATAATGATGATCTCATTTTCACTAAAAACTATAAATACTTGACAGTTTTATATCATATTGGACACTGTTTGGAATAGCATTTGTTTCACATGTCTTCTGTTTTCTCATTTGCTACTTGGCAGTGTTCCAGCATTCAAGTGTTAAATCATAGGCGGTATATAAAGAATCTAAACTATAGATATAACAGTTTAAAATTACATTTTTATTTGTTCTAGTATGAGATTCGTTAGTTGTGTATTCACGCTCCCAAACGCTGAACTTCCGTGAGAACACTTAACCTTTAGATCACTGAGCCGTCATAGTGTTAACGTCTAAGTGCAATAAATCCACAACATGATATTTCACATTCATCTGCAACACTGAAGTAACATTTTATAATCCATGAGATTGAACCTAAAATATTTTATTGCTTATCATTCTAATGATTTGAGGATATAATAGAACAGAAGTGTATGTAGTATGAAAATTCAACCCCATCTAATGTATTTATTGATTTGTCCACTCTCTTTATAACCCGAACCCAATTTGATTATTTACATTAATTATCGTAATGAAATTATTTATTTTCATGTTACATTCTGTGAGGTGCTGAATTTCAGTCGGAAGTTAGTTAGCGATTCATTACTTTGAAACCTATTTAAACACATTAACATTGGTACAAGAAGGCACTAAACAGATATGAACCACATAAATCATTCGATTTGCGTGACGGCTGGAATACTGCCCAGGTGTCCAGACTGAAAAGGTGCTTTTTGTGGGGGGGAACACCCGGAGCCTTCGACCTAAAAGTCTAGTCCACAAGGTAGTGGAGCAACATCAAGAGATGCAGTCTCATGGTAGCCGGTGACTAATACTTGGTTCCTATGCCATTTGTTCCTTCAGGATACTGGAGCCCATATGCACCATTGGTTCGAAATCAGCGTTTTCCAATTTCCCCATATATGTATCCTCTGTACCTACAAACTCGTTTAAAACACCGGACATCCACTTTTCGTCCTCTCATTTTCGTAAACAACACCCTTGTTGCAAGAGTGCAGTGAGCAGAAATTTTTCTGTCAGTAGTTATATGCACGTGGCCATGTGTGAGAATTTGGAGAGGAGAAGCTAATTCTCAACATTCTCGGCCGTACTAGGGCATTTGTCTCTTTATACAATTTATAAAAAATAGTGAGAAAAACTATTTGGTCGGCAAGAGACAACTTGAAAATCGATATAAATTACTTTGAAAATTAAAATTATGCGCGAAATATGTTAAGACTAAAATTAGTGAATTGAAAAAAAAGCATGTCTGAAATGAACATGATCAATTCAAGTCAGTGATGTAAATTTGACATCTTATATATGTTTCAATCAAAACTAGGTGATCTAATAGTGTAATATTTGTATATACAATTGAAGGTCTTTAGATTTATCTTTTGTAAATTTACATTTAGGATATGGTGAGAGTTATGAAGTCAGTATGACAAGATTAATTGATGATCCTTGACTGTGAATAGTTATTTATTTGACTGCATACATAGATAAAACAAAACTGCATTTTTCAAAGAGACCAAATAAACCTAAATCCTAATAAGTAAAAAAACTATACTTCTGATATTTCGTAACTTAAAGTAAGCCTCTTCTTCAGAATAACTATCAAATTCAAACCTTGTTAATAATATCTACAAACCTACTCGATGATGATAGAACCATTTTTAAATAAATAGCATATTCATAAATTTTAAATAGAAGAATTACATTTGAAGATAGAATATTTCAAAGGTGTAACTTATGAACCTAAGGAACCTTTAAAATTAATTCAACGTTCAAACTGACCGATTCACAGAAATAAACATTACCAAAATAATTCTTAACAGTATACGGGATTTATAATGATTAATCAGTTTCTAATATTTATCATAGATTAACTTTACAATTGATTGATCACTGGGTGGTGATCAATGTCATGCGTGTCTAGTCCTTATTAGTGCAGATCGAATGCTATCAACCATGTTGCAATGTGGCCACCAGTCTAGGTAACTCGACACTGCGGGCACTATGTATTGAGATTTAGATGTTGCTTGGAGGTAGTCAACAGGAAACCCTGATGACTCGGGTTTCGTGCTACTTGACACTCGTCAACCATGCGTACCTGTAATCTTGAGGGAACTGGTGCTCCCTGACGAATTCAATCTCGTGTCACCCAGCTTCACAGTCAGAGACGTTACCACATGACATTGGTCACCACCCAGCGATCAATCAATTGTGATTACATCTCAGTCCTACAGGAGGTCGATCGCGGCTCGGATAGCTCCGTGGTAACGTCTCTCACTATGAAGCTGGGTGACACGAGATTGAATACGTCAGGGAGCACCAGTTCCCTCAAGATTACAGGTACACCTTGCTGACGAGTGCCAAGTAGCACGAAACCCGAGTCATCAGGGTTTCCTGTTGACTACCTCCAATCAACATCTAATCTCAATATATAGTGCCTGTAATGTCGAGTCACCTAGACTGGTGGCCACATTGCACCACGATCGATAACATTCGATCTGCACTAATGAGGACTAGACACGCATGACATTGATCACCACCCAGTGACCAATCAATTGTAAAAGATAAATACTGTATTTTGAAGGTTATATCATGGGATGACTGCAGTTAGACTAAATAAGAATAAGGAGCCACTGGAAATCTGTCTGGTTCCAATATGAAATTCCTCAGAAGTGTTGATTGACGACTTCACGGAGGATCGATTGCTCAAGCTTCAAGTTCTGTAGTGAGTACTTAACTTCTAAATCATTGAGTTGGCATTTATTGACTTAGAATTCAGCTGTCAATGAATTCGAGATATTGAGTGATAGTTATTTAATTATTATTATTATTATTATTTGTGGGTAAGTACTCCATTCTCCAATAACAACGGTTCCTTTTGATAAATCTAGTAACTAGCTATCAAAAAGATCTTTTGTTCACCTTCAGATTGATATTATTTTCGTCAGATCATTCAAATAAGTGATTGATATGACTAAATTAGATGGCAACTCGAACTGAAGTACATACGTACGAAGTCCTACCTTGTTAATGACTGAGTGACTGAATGTCGATTAACTGACATGAAATACCAAATCATGTTTCTCTGAAAATAAAATGTGATAGTGTATGCACATATTGGATATCTAAAAACTAATTGGTTAGTAATTAGTTAAAGATGACAGTTGATAAGTAAAAGGCCATTCACATTAATAACAAGGTATAACTAGAAGATCGTTTCAACTAAGAAAGCCATCATCCACAAGATAGAAGTGTTTATTAACAGTTGTCTACGCAAAACACTTCAGATGCGTTGGCCGGACACTAATAGTAACAACCTACTGTGTGAGAGAGCAAACCAGATTCCAGTGAAGGAAGAAATCAGGAAGAATCTCTGGAAGTGGATAGGACACACATTGAGGAAAGCACCCAACTGTGTCACAAGACAAGCACTCACATGGAATCTTCAAGGCCAAAGGAGAAGAGGAAGATCAAAGAACACATTACACTGGGAAATGGAGACAGACATGAGAAAAATGAACAATAATTGGATAGAACTAGAAACGAAGGCCCAGGACAGATTGTGTTGGAGAATGATTGTTGGCAGCCTATGCTCCACTGGGAGTAACAGGCGTAAGTAAGTAAGTAATATTGGTAATTATAAACTAAAAACAAATAAGGTGTATTTTAAATAGTTGAGATCATGAGAATTGAAGTTAGACTACCATGGAAAACCTGGAAACACTGGACGGCCTTTTCGTCCATACTGGCTTCAAGATATATATCCTGGAGTTCTAGTGAGAAGCAGTGACCAGTGAAGTTCAACCTGGTCAGTTGTGAAGTAGTAACTCACTGATGACAATGGTGGATATGTCGCTCAATTTCGTGGATTAGTTGAAGCTAAACATCAACACCATTGGATACCGACTCAGTGGTCTAGTTGGTTAAGCGCCGAGCGCGAGACTGATAGGTGCTGGTTTCGAATCCAGTGAAGCGGGGTTGTATATGCGCACTGTTGAGGAGTCCCACAATAGGACGAGTTGGCCTCCCAGTGCTTCCAGGTTTCCAACAGTGGCCTAACATCAATCGGTTCATGAACTCAATCAAAAACAATACTTTGATGTGATATTCATTGACTATTGCCTACCATTATTCATTTGTACTAATTCAGTTTAAAGTCTATTTCTATATTCCTACTTGTTTTTCTTTTTTTTTCCTTCAGTTATCATCTAATATTCAACGACTAATCATTAAATACCTTTAAAATTTATGTATATATAAATGAATTTATTCCCATTTGAAATTATTGTAATATTTTAAACATTGAATAAAATCATGACTTGGCAACTATTTTGATTTTTTTTTCTTTTTGATGATAAGGGGACACATTTGTTCCTTATTGAAAATATTGATTTCCGCGGTTATTTAAAATGTTTCTATTTTTCTTTTTTTTTAATGACATAGCAACCGACTTCAATTTTAATGTTTCATGTTTGAAATTTTCGCTCTAGTGAGTTTTTTTCTTTTTTAAATTCCGAATCTTCTATTCGTTGACACTAAAGATTAATTAATATGGTTTGATTTATTTAAAGTTCATTATTAGCATAACAACAGTTTGTTTGTTTCTTTTTTAGTTTAGTTCTGAATAACATATGTTCAAATCACGTTTACAATATTTTGTCACTGTTATACATAATCCTGAAGGGAAACGAAAAAGAGGAAGGCCAAAGAACACATTGCGTCG